TTCAATTAGACTCTTGTAGGCTTTGAGGTTTGTTCCCCTCTCCCAAGTATTCTCCTCTGCGTCACACCCTTGCCATTTTACCAAGAACTCTTGATGATCCTTCCTGGAGGCATGAATAACCCAATCATCAAGAATGGCTTCAGCCCGCCTTTTCCCGATTGAATTATGGCCTCGAATGCTGGGTATAGTGAGCTGGCTCCTTGAAGGATCCTCAGTGTCTTCCCGAAAAGGTTTCAGGAGACTGACATGGAAAACGGGATGGATTTTCCACCAAACTGGGGTATCCACCCGGTATGCAACTTTCCCAATTCGCCTTTCAATGGACAAAGGTCCAATATATTTTTGCAACAGGCTAGGGTCATGGACCCCTGCAAATAAGTACCGCTTTGGGATTTTGACCATCACTTTGTCTCCTGCTTGATATTCAACAAAGCGACGATTCTGATCAGCATGCCTCTTCATCCGCTTTTGGGCCTTAACCAGATAGCTCCGCACTATCTCCAAATTTCGCTTCCAATCTTTTGAGAACGAGGAGATTTTTACATGTTTGGTGCATTCACTGTGTGTGGGAGTAGCGGTTGCTGCCCGGTAACAATTTCAAAAGCACTTTTGTTTGTAGTAGAGCTCTTTTGTGAATTGAAACACAGTTGGGCAGTATCCAGGAGCTTAACCCAATTCTTCTGCGATCCGGTAACAAAGTGGCGGAGATATTCTTCCAACATACCATTGAACCGCTCCGTCTGGCCATCAGATTGCGGATAAAAACTTGAGCTATGACTCAATTTTGACCCGAGGCACTTGAATAGTTGGGTCCAAAAGTTGCTAGTGAAGCGTGAATCGCGATCACTAACGATGTCTTTGGGCAGGCCCCAATATTTGACGACATGGGAGAAGAAGAGTCGAGATGTATTTTCTGCTGGCATATATTGTGGGGCTGCAATAAAGGTGGCATACTTGGAAAACCGATCCACCATAATCAAGATAGTTGTGAGATCTCCGACCTTGGGTAATCCGGTGATGAAATCCAGAGACACGCTTTCCCAAGGCCTCTTTGGGACAACTAATGGTTCCAAAAGTCCCGCTTGTGTCAAGCGGTCAGACTTGTCTTTCTGGCACACAAGACAAGTACTAACATACTGAGTAACGTCGTCGGCCATTTGAGGCCAATAATATGCACGTCGAAGTAGGGCCATGGTGCGCTCCTCGCCGGGGTGACCGGCCCACAAAGTGTCATGACATTCTGCCAGAAGAGTCCTTCTCAGATCTTCTCCTTTAGGAACATAAAGTCGGTTTCCTTTTACTTTCAAGAAACCATCCTCCATGTAGAACTGACGAGTTTTGTCCTGTCCTACTAGATCAACCAAATACTGTGCAGCGGGATCCTTGATGATTAGATCCCGTATTTGGTCTTTTATGGTGGTAGCTACTTCGCTTCCCCTTAGGGTGGCTAGTAGGCACACTGATGCTAGGTCCGCTCTCCGACTGAGTGCATCAGCCACATGATTGGTCTTCCCACTTCGATATTCTAAGTTGAAGTGGAATTCTGCTAGGAGTTCCTGCCATCGGGCCTGTCGATCATTCAGCTTTGGCTGGGTCATGAAATGACTAACAGCAGTGTTGTCTGTCTTGACAACGAACGGGGATCCCAGCAGATAATGCCTCCAAAGGCGTAAGCAATGAACAACAGCCAGTAGTTCTTTCTCATGGACGGCATAGCGCCGCTCTGCATCCTTCAGCTTCCTGCTCTCGTATGCTATGGGATGCCCGTCTTGTAGTAAGACCCCGCCAAGAGCATAGTTGGAAGCATCCGTTTGTACCTCGAATGGCTTCCAAGTAGGGCCAATACGGGGCTACTAGACATAGCCGCTTATAATGCGCTGAAGGCTTCTGCTCGCCTGGGACCCAAGTCCCAAGGTGTGATCTTCTTGAGGAGTCCTGTCAATGGCACTGCAATGAGGGAGTAATTCTTCACAAATCGCCGATAGAAATTGCATAGTCCAAGGAATGCCCTCAAGGCGTGGATATCCTTGGGTGGCGGCCAATCTATGATAGCTTGGATCTTTTGCTGGTCCATCTTGATCCGCCCTTCCTCAATGACATGTCCGAGGAAGTCGTTCTGTTTTTGCGCAAAGGAGCACTTGGATAGCTTTGCGTATAGTTCATGCTCCCGCAACCGGGCTAGAACCTTCCGCAAGTGCTCTAGGTGTTCCTCCAGTGTTTGGCTATAGACCACAATGTCATCCAGATAGACCACCACGAATTCATCAATATACTCTCGCAAGACTTGGTTCATCAGGGTGCAAAATGTGGCTGGAGCATTAGTCAAGCCGAACGGCATGACCAGGAAGTCGAACGACCCATACCTTGTCACACAGGTCGTCTTGTGTTCATCGCCCTCAGCAATCCGGACTTGCCAATACCCTGTCTTCAAGTCAATCTTCGTGGGATTTGGAGGGTACAATGATCCCTGTGTCTAGCATCTCCGTCAATTGTCTCCGAAGCTCGGTGAGCTCGGGTTGTGACATTCTATAGGGCACCCGGGCAGGTGGCTTCGCACCCGGCACCAACTCAATCTCATGGTCCACAGTGCACCTAGGCGGAAGTCGCTTTGGCATCTCTTGTAGCATGACATCTTCAAATTCCAGTAGTAGCTCCTTCACGGGTGTAGGGAGTTGACCCGATGAGCGTTCTACTTCTTCGATGCATAGGATAGCCAGGAATGTAGGTTCATGTCTCTTGACTCCCTTTTTCAGTTGCAAGGCTGAGATGTTCTCAGCGGCCATCTTTATAGATATGCACGGAATAATGCAGGGCGTGGCCCCGTTTGCTCCCATCATCAAAAGCATGTCCGCATATGGTACGGGCATGGTGTTGGTCTGTCTCAAGAATTCCAGCCCAACTATCAACTCGAAGTCATCTATGATCACTACTCGCAAGTTGAACTTTCCTTCATAGGGACCAATCTTCACTGGTACCTCTTTGGCTATTCCACCCACTGGTTGGGGAGGTGAGTTGATAGCCTTGACATGACCTCTGCCCTTCCCCACAACTATACCAAGACGCTCCACCTGAGTCAAGGCTAAGTAGTTGTGAGTAGCACCCGTGTCTATCATCGCCCGAATGGGCTTGCCATTTACCTTCAGCTCAACGAACATCAAGGTCCTCTCTTGTGTAGGAGGATTCCCTTTATTCGTCTTCTTCTTCCTTTCTTGGTGATTGCGCAGGGGTCCTTTTTCTTACGGATACCAGCACTGGTTCCCGCTAATGCCTCAGAAATAGAACCAACAATCGCATTGAAGGCACCGACCGGTTCGGTCGTCCCCTCATCATCTGTCTCGTCGTCTATTCCATCATCATAAGCTTGGTGGGCATTCATCTGTGCATGTGGACATTTATTATTCCAATGTGGCCCGCCGCAGTGGCGGCATCCTGAAGGGGGCTTTCTTCCCCGATCATTGTTGTTTGATGCAGCACTGTTGCTGCCTGAGGAGGGAGCCTTAGTTTTGGATGCGCTCCGATCTCCCCCATTTCTGTTAGGGCCGCCGTTGTTAGACTGGCCCCCTTTGTAACCCGTTCGAACAGGCGGTTGCGTCCTATCCTTCCGAGCTTCCATTTGATAGTCCCCTAGGCATTCCGCTGCTTGGATTGCCTTGGGTAGGGTATCTACCCTTTGTCTTTGCAGCTCCATGCTGGCATAAGGTTTCAACCCTTCTAGGAAGGTGAAGAGCTTGTCTTTGTCCCCCATGTCGCGAATGTTCAACATGAGTGCGGAGAATTCTCGCACGTAGTCCCGCACTGATTTGGTCTGGCGGAGCTCCCGTAGCTTTCTCCTTGCATTGTACTCAACATTCTCGGGAAAGAACTGTAGGCGTATGGCTGCCTTCATTTCTTCCCATATCTCCAGAGCATCTTCACCGGCCTTGATGGCTTCGTACTTCACCGGCCACCAGAGCTTAGCATCCCCCTGAAGATACATGGCAGCAGTTGCTACCTTCTTGGCTTCTTCCAGGCTGCCCACAGCATCGAAGTACTGCTCGATGTCGAAGATGAAATTTTCCACTTCTTTAGCATTCCTAGCTCCACTGTATGGCTTTGGCTCAGGAATTTTCAGTTTTTGAGCCATGGGAGCCATGTTCACAGCACCCCGATTGAGTTTCCACCTCCTCGAAGCAAGCCTTATAGAGCAGCATTGACAACATTGAGCTGGCCTGTCAAGTCGTCCATAGTTTGTTGCATGGCAGTCACCCTGTCTGCCTCTTGGGCCCTATAGGCCAAATCCTTGGCGCGCTCATGTTGGAGGCCCTCGAATTTATCAAAAATTTCGGCTGCCTCAGTAGCTGCCGTTTGCCGGTCTCCTTCAGAGTCGCGACTGATGTTTTCTATGTCAACTTCAGCCTGCGATCCAGGTCATCTAACCTTTGCACTAGGCTGGTCTGTAGTTCCGGCACCGTATTCACAATGGGTCGTAATACGTCAACTGTCTCCTCAAGGGCCGCGATGCGGTCCCCATGATTCACCATGGTCAGAAATGGTGGTAATGTCAATGCGTTCCCTCGTCCGATGTCGAGCCTAGGCTCTGATACCAACTGTTACGGGGCGCCTTCCTGAGATTCTTTGGAAGGGCGACGTAAGGCTAAGCAACCGAAGTCAGGGCGATTGCTGTCCGCCAAATGGGGTCCCCTCCGTACGCTAGACTAGATTGTCAGTGTCGTACGAGAAAACCAATGTCAACAACTGAGAGAACAGTAATGAGAATTGAATGAAAGCTTGATTGCATTAATGAAAGCTAATACAAAAGTAGGCAACGCGGTATCGAGGGGGAGAGTCGCCAGTACAGAAAATTGCTTGCTAGAAAGTTTTCGAATGCTTGATCCCCCTAATAATGCTTAAAAAAAATAAACCAAAGTTACAGGAATAGACCTAACTAAGCTAGAGAATCATAATGAAATTACATGGAATAAAACTACTCTATATTTACAAGAAAAAGGACTTAATTTTCTACAAGGTAGAAACAGGTCCGTTGTCAGCAACTTTGTCTCAGGCATCACGATCTGCGCGCGCGGCATTGTCTGCGCGTGCGGTGCTGTTGGCAGCTGCTTGCGGCTGGGCGCTAGCGAGGGATATCGGTGGGGCGACAGAGGCACATGCGCGCTTGTCACTTGGCGCGGCCTAGACCACGGGGTCGTCCGTGGCGCTAGGTGTTGGGAGGCTTGCTAGGACACCACGGGGCGCGTCCAAGGAGTCATGGGGCATGGCTGGAAAGCCTCCCATGACATAAATAAAGACATAGAAAGACAAATTTTACATGAAATGTTTCCTAGAATGCCCAAAATTATCATCTATGAGCAGCATTGGTTAGAATATTGTATCGTTAGAAAAAATAGAATTACTTTCTAGAAATTCAAACTATGATGAGGTATGGCTGTTCAAGCATTTTATTATAAACTAGCGAACTCCGTTGTTACAGCAATATAAAATGACCCAAGAGAATATGTTTTTCATTGGTAAACTTGTTTTACCAAGAACCCCATCACATAAACTGAGATCCAACACATTTCTTGGTAACAAGCAATCCATCTGTTTATTCACATACATGTTCTTCATAGAAGCAAATAGCAAGCCCCCGCTTGCCAAAAGGCACCATCTTATAGCAGTTCAAACTGCAAAGAAAACACAATCCAATTTTTGCATTCAAAGGCAAATATCATCTCCAAAGAAAACTTGTGTGGGAAGTGCATAGCACAAACGCTGAAGCCTGTTTTCCTTTCTATTTTGACTGTTAGTCTTTCCACTTTTATAACGTGAATAGCTACTAGCATAATAGCTGGAGTCTGGAGATACAGTAAAATTACCCTTTAAAACTATATACAGATAAATGACTGAGGATTCAACCAAATGCTCAACCTATACTGATGTTGGTCCTTTCTTCTTTAACTCAGTAAATCTGGAATATCACCAGCGTCTTTTAGGACACCTGCCATATTTTTGACCAATTTATATATCTCATCAGTCTGTTCATGAGCATTATGCTCCATATAGAAGAAATGTGTTTGTCTTTGCACCTCAATCATGCTATAACCAGGCTCCTTTTTCACCCCTGAGTCCTTCATCAGTCTCCTTACCTCCGCAACATTGTTCCACAAACCAAAAGAAGCATAAGCATTAGACAAGACAACATATTTGCCTGCATTCTCAGGTTCCAAGTCAAAGAAATTTCTAGCAGCAAGTTTGACCATCTCGATATCTCCATGAATCTTACAAGCCCCTAGTAAGGCACCCCATAATACAGGGTGCTCCCCACAACGCGAGTTTTTGACAAACTCATGAGCCTCTTGTAATCTTCCAGCACGGCCTAGAAGATCCACAATAGCTGCATAATGTTTTCCTCTTGGTCGAAGCCCATAATCTCTCATCATCAATGAAAAATACTCCTTACCTTTATCTACCAAACCCCCATGGCTACAAGCAGAAAGAACAGCAAGAAATGTAATATGGTTTGGCCTAAATCCTTCATCTATCATCCTATGAAATGATTCCAGAACATCTTCTATTCTTCCATTTTGTCCATACCCAGATATCAAAGCAGTCCACGTTATCACATTCCTTTCCAAGGACTTACTAAACACAAGATAGCCATCAGATGGACAACTACACTTGAAATACATGTCCATAAGTGCACTATTAACTACAATATTTCCACTAATTTGGCTTTTAATCAACAGCGCATGTGCTTGCTTGCCCTGCTCCAGGACTGCTAAAGAGGCACAGGCTCTAAAGACTGATGCAAATGTATACTGATCTGGAAGTACACCTCTTTGTTTCATGTTATGGTAGAGACTCACGCCTACTTCCTCCATACCCTTCTGCACGTATCCTGCAATCATAGCGTTCCATGAAACCAGGCATTTGAATTGCAACTTATCAAATATAATGTGTGCGGTATCCAAGTCTCCTGCTTTTGCATACAAAATTAACAACTTAATAGTCAGATATTCATTTGGAACAAAGCCGACAATAATCATTTGCCAATGGACTCTTTTCCCTTTCTTATATGCTTGCCGGAAAATGCACTCCTGTAAAAGAAGGGAATAAGTCTCTGCCTCAACCTGTACACCAGAGCGGCACAATATTCCAACTGCTTCAGCCACCCTTCCTGAGAAACAGAGACCTTTTATTGTCTCGTCCAAATAGAGGGAGCTCTTTACGCCATTGGCCTGAAAACTGGGAATATTGCCAACCATGATTTCAAATTCAAATACCATCAGAATAACATGGTCCAACTTTTGCTTCCTCTACATGAGAGAGCCAAAGAGCATGGAGATTTCAACACCCCAGAGAAGAGAGCAAAGGAAACAGCAAAAAGCCGAGAGCAGAACAATAAATTTAGAAGGAAAAAAAAAGGAACAATCATTCAACGAGAGAGACGAAAGGTTGAGTAACAAGCAAAATTCATCGACTTTCAACATCTACGAACTGCAAAGAAACCAAGTCCACATAGCAGAACGGACAATTGGCGCCTTGGAGCAACGAAAATTTAGTAAGCAACAGCCTTTTTTTTCAATAAGTTCCAACAACTTGCTAATATAAACACCAAATATAAAGCATACTAAGAACCGAGCACCCTCATTGAAGATGATATAAATGACTAAGTCGGGACTCTGGTGTTAAATTCTTGCCCAACAAAACATTATATTTCGATGCATCGTAGTCCGTGTTTTATTTTTAAGGTACATATGGTCCAACAAGCTCTTAGAATACTAGTCAAAAGTCCTACTTGTATAAGTTCTCTAAAGCTTGTGTGTAAAGTGAATAGCTAAGTACATAAACAGATTCTTAAGAGCTATGTTGCACGCACTCTCCGAAATGTAGCCGCACCCGTGTCGGATCCTTCAAAACTGCACTACCTTTGGAGGACCCGACACATATCCAGCCACAATTTCCGGAGAGTTCGAGCAACATAGCTTAAGAGAGGCAGTCAAACAAATAGTACCCCTTTCCTCCAACAGATTAATAGTAGTAAAAAAAAAAGGCAAAAAGAGGTTTTTACCCCGAGAACAAAAAAAGTCATAAAAGAGGTGCAAAAATATAAAATTTAAAATATGCAAAGCATTTCATCACCTATAAAACTGAAATGAAAACCAAATTAGAAAGATATTGAGAATCCTAACCTGCCACTGCTGCTTTCAGACTTTATCCTCTTCAAAAGAGTAGTAGTTTTTCCAGCAAACATAGGACCCACAATCACATGAACCTCACCCGAATCCGAACCCGAACCCGATACATCAGTATGCAAGACCCGAATTTGATTATGGTTTGGCACAGTAGAACAGCTAAAGGAAGAAACTTTATTCATGGGGTTTATTGTTTGAACCCCATATCTTCTGCATACAAAAATGGGTTCTTGAAAATGAAAGCAGAAAGATAAAGGAGGTGTTGTGGGTCTTGAAAGTATTGGGTAAAGTAGTGATTTCATTCTTGATAATGTTAGCATGTAGTAGTACTAGTAGGAGTATGAAATTTTGAGGCTTTTGGAGTAGAATTTTTTGGGATTTTATCACATTTGCAGGTTTGATTTTATGGGAAATTGAGTTAATTTGATGTTAGAATATGAGATAAGAAAAGGGGGCATGGGTTTTATGGGTTTTAACTTTTAAGGGTTTTAGGTTCTTTGGCTTGGAGGGAAGTTCTTCAATAGAAGAACTGAAGAAGAATAGCAATACATAAGCTGTATACAAGGTTCGACTTATAAATCGCATTTATATACTGCGACTTATAAGCATTTTATAAATCATATTACCGTTTATCAGTTTATAGAATATTTTACACCCCCAACAGTTCTTTATCATCTAGATTATTATCTTTTTATCTTCTTCTTAATAACATGATATTTTTGTAATCTATGTTATGAATTTACTTATAACGATAACTGTTATTTTCGAAGAAAAAAAGTAAAAATAGTAATTAAACATAGAAGTCGAGAAATAAATGAGCAGAATAAAAAGTTTTAGAATAAAAAATTGCTCATGTCGGTTATTTTATTAATAACAATGAGTGTTACTCAAAAATTTATTTACACAATTGAGAATAAAAAAGAGAGAGAACTTTGTAAAGATATACTTAATGCAGGTAATGCAAAATTAATTTTAAAATTTAAGGTAGATTTTATAATGGGTTTCTCAGATTATTTATTTATATTTTAAATGAATTTTGTATTGAGATAAATTTCTCAATTCATTTAGTATTCGTTTTTGTTTTTAGTAGAGCCTCAATATTGATCGAGCGGACTCACATTTCAAAATATTTTTAAAAAGAAGGTTCAAATTTATGCATTTTACTTTTGATTATGGTTTTAAAGTTATATATCATTATACTTCAAGCTCGAACTCCGTTAGGTCAGGGTATGAATATCCAAATGTATAATATATGATAAAATTAAAATATTTTGTAAATACTATGTGTGACCTTTTTCCAACATTTATTAGTTTTACCCTAAAATATTCAATATTAGTTAACAATAATTTTAATTTGCTATTGGTGGTTGATGCAATGGTCATTTAAAGCATTTAATATCATGATAAACTCAGATATTGTATCTATTTTACTCGATATCACTAAGTAATAATTTTTTATTATTAATTGTTATAAATAGAATTCTATTTAGAGTGAATGTCTATCTTTTAGAGAGTTTTACTTTGTGGCTAAGTCATTATTATTGTAAATCACCCCAAAATTCAATAAGAATTCTCTCTCTCTTTCTCTGCAGTATTGTTCTTGTTCTTTTATTGCTTCATAACACGTTATCAGCACGAGACTATACCGTCTCAAGAAGCTCTTTGAGAAGATTAAGGTATAACTTTTCTCCTCTCTTTCTTTTTAATTATGACTGACATTATGAAAAGAAAGTTCGTTGCTCTTGAAATTTCGGGTAAGAACTATATGACATGGGTGTTGGATGCTGAAATCCATTTAGATGCAATAGGTCTTGGTGAAGCCATTAAAGATAAAAAATAAAGCATTTACCCAAGACTGTGCTAAGGCCTTGATTTTCTTGCGTCATCAACTTGATGAAGGGTTGAAAATAGAATATCTCACAGTCAAAGATCCACTTGTTTTGTGGAATGGCTTAAAGGAAAGATATGACAACTTAAAGTTGGTCACTCTTCCAAAAGCACGATATGATTGGGCTCGTCTGAGGCTCCAAGACTTTAAGTTTGTTTCTGAATATAATTCTGCGATATTCAGAATTACTTCTAAATTGAAACTCTGTGGAGATACTATCACTGATTATGATATGCTTGAAAAAACGTTTACAACGTTTCATGCTTCCAATATGATCTTGCAACAGCAATACCGAAGAGAAAGGTTTCAAGAAGTACTCTGAGTTGATTTCTCTTCTCCTCGTGGCTGAGCGAAATAATGACTTGCTCATAAGAAATCACGAAAATCGACCCAGTGGGTCTACACCATTGCTTGAAGTGAATGAGGTGTATTCTCATTATGCCAAACGTGGGAAAGGTTGTGGCCCTATTAATGGTCGTGGTCGTGGACAAAGAAGAAATTTTCCTGGTGTTAATCACCCCCCAAAGAAAAATAACCACCAAAAGTGGAAAGGGAAATATGAGGAAGGCAAAGGCAAATGGTTCAGAAACTGAATGTTATCGTTGCGATGGAAAAGGCCATTGGGCAAAACTTTATCGTGTACCAAGACATTTGGTTGAGCTTTTTCAAGCATCTCTAAAGAATAAAGGCCCTGAAGCCAATTTTGTCTCTGACAATGATTTTGACATCACCGAATTAGATGTGGCCTTTTCATTCTAGTTTGATTAATAATTTTCTTTCGCTAAGTATAAAAAAATTTATTTCATGCTAAAAATAAATTACTTTTTAATTCAGTACTTAAATTATTCATCACTATTTTATTCAATTATCATCAATATATCTTGGTAAATGAAAAATTTCTCAAATAACAATTGATTTGATAGTGTTATATTGAAAATGTAGTCGTCGAAATATGCGTTTGGTAGCGTATGTCCCATATTTAAGAAAAAACCCGATAAATAACCGAAAAAATCGAAAAACCGACAAACTTGACTTGTGACAGTGTTGTTGCTCCTAAACAAGTGTTCATTCTATGGCTAGCATTGCTTGGTAAACTAAGAACCAAAGATGTTCTATTGAGTTAGGGTATTAGTGTACAGTAATAACAGCAACTCAGTTAAATTTTACTAGTAGAGTCTGGGGAAGATAGTGTGTACGCAGACTTTATTCCTACTCTGAAAGGTTAGATAGACTGTTTCTGAAAGACCCACGACTCAAGAGAACAAAAAGACAAAAGAAGACTGAGGCATTAGAAACCTCTTCACATATCTTTTTTGAATGTCTTTACTCAAGATCTAGGGCAGTTTATTAAAAGAAAAAGAAAAAGAAAAGAAAAAACCATGGATATCATGTTCTCGAGGATGTTTGGATTGACCTTTAAGCTGGTCAAAGCAGCTTTTAAGCTCTTTTTAGCTTTTTTCAGTGTTTGGCAAAATAAAAAAAATGCTTAAATAAATTAAAAACTGCTTAAAACAAGCCAAAAGCAAGAAGACTGAATGTCCTTACTCAAGAGAACAAAAAGACAAAAGAAGATTGAATGTCCTTACTCAAGATCTAGGGCAGTTTATTAAAAGAAAAAGAAAAAGAAAAAGAAAAACCCATGGATATCATGTTCTAGAGGGTGTTTGGATTGACCTTTAAGCTGGTCAAAGCAGCTTTTAAGCTCTTTTTAGTTTTTTTAGGTGTTTGGCAAAATAAAAAAATGCTTAAATAAGTTAAAAACTACTTAAAACAAGCCAAATGCAAGAAGTTGAGCAATCCCAACTTATTGCTTTTTGACTTAAAAGTTATTTCTACTGAAAAATTAATTTTTTTAAGCCAATCTAAACGGGCTCCTAATATGACACAGAAATGACATAGCAACAATTAAACTGTCTAATAGAAATAAAGCTATAAAATAGAAAGGGATAGATGACATGAACAATTTATCATTCTAGTTTTGAATTGGATTTAGCAAAAAATCTATATATCGGAAAAGGGTTCAAAATGCCCCTAAACTATTGGAAAAGGTTTTAAAATACCCTTCATCCATTTATTGGGCTAAAAATACCTCTGCATCCACTTTTTCGGTTCACTTATGCCCTAATGCTAAATTAAAAATAATTATTATTCTTTTTGTAAAATTAAAAAAAAATATTTTGCAAAATATTTTCGTTTTTTTATACTAATGCACCAATAGTCCACTAGCTTTTTTAAAAAAACGAAAACATTTTTTTCTTTAAAGAAAAACTGAAAAACGAAAATAAAACGAAATGCTTTAGAAAAACTGAAAAAAAATGAAAAAAAATTATTTTTCAAAAATGAAAATATTTTGTTGAAAATATTTTTTTCAGTTTTAAAAAACGAAAATATTTTATTAAAAACATTTTTTTTTCAGTTTTTACAAAAAAAAAAAAGCTTTAAAAAACTGAAAAAAATGAAAAAAACTATATTTTTCTGTAAAAACTGAATTGTTTATTGTAAAAATTGAAAAAAGAAATAAGAAGACTTTACTAAATTAGTGGACTATTGGTACATCAGTTTAAAATAACAAAAATATTTAGCAAAATATTTTTTTTAAGTTTTAGAAAAAGAATAATAATTATTTTTAATTTAGCATTAACTTAACGGTCAAAGGGCATAAGTGAACCAAAAAAGTAAATGGAGGAGTATTTAGCCCAATAGGTGGATGAAGGGTATTTTTAAACCTTTTCCAATAGTTTAGGGACATTTTGAACCCTTTTCCGCATATTATTTAACTAAATTCTTTTCCACAGTCAGCAAATGAAACTTAAATTAAATATGTTATTAAGGGTGGTAAGGAATATTTATAGTTACCAAAAACAGAACTAAGATCTAAAGGAGATTTATTATGACTTAAACTTTAAATTCCAATTTATGAAATTTTTGTAGTGATTTAATTAGCTTTACCATGTGATTTAATCATTCATTCAGCAATTGTATCCAAAAGCCTATCCATTATATGCATTGACCAACAGTTGGCAAAAATTCATATTCAATGTTCGAATCGAAAACGTTACTGTTAGGCGAAGGATCAAATCATAGAGATAGCAGATCTTAAGAGACGGAAAAAAAGGAACCTCAGTAATCTAGAGATCGCAGAGTCTAGTTCGAATCACGAAGGATAAAGCGATTTCATATTCAATGTTCGAATCGGAAACGTCTAATTAATAATGAATGAGTATTTGTCACTCACCCAAATATCTATCAATATTAACGTAGGTCAAAGAGAAAAGCAAAACCGAAAGAAGAATAGTCAGTATAAGGCAATATCCAACTTTCTTTATTAATTAATTTCCTAACGCAAAAAGAAAAAAGAAAAAAAACAAAGTGCGTAAATTACGGTACATTTCTTGGTCACCATGACATTATCTAGGAATTACATGTCCCAAGTAAATTGTCGGAAGTTCCCACTGTAAATTAGAAAATTGAGAAGAAAAAAAATCCCAGAATGTTTTCCTTTTGACAACATGTCAACGTTTTTATTTTACAAACATAGAGAAACCTATTTAAAGAACTTTTTAACCATTTTTCCCTTTAATGTTGGGTTACTTTACCTATAATTAATATGCAAAGCATCGGTACAATTTCTTGTGTTATAGGTTGA